AACTACTACTTTTAGGCAACCAATAAAACCAACCAGCCAACTAATCACACAACAAGCAAAGTAATGAACCATCAAATCACACAGCAACAACAACGACAAACATGAAGTTACTAACGTTAACCCCCCCCCCTCCCTCTCCCCCCCCCCCCCCAAATAACACAACAACACGACGACAATTAGTTAACTAACTAACGAACCAATTAGTGCGTCGGTAATTCAACTTATGCACTCGCGGATGGCTTTAAAAATAGTGCGTTTTTCATGAGCTGGCATAAACAGTCTGCGTGATGTCTGCGTCCTTGACAAACGTTTGATTTCTTGCTTGGCAAGATAATTGCTGAGAATCTAGTCAGATGGCAGAACTGTAGATAAGAAACTAGACAACGTCTTAATAGTTGTACACGTTGATGATATGTGATGTGTCCTCGCCTGCTAGGATGTTTCATATGTTAAAAATCAATGGGTTAAATAAGTTTATGGGTGGTGGTATATACTGTCCCATTTTTAGTGAGATATATTCGTATAATCCCTAAGAATCTCAGCACAGGGCACGAACTCCGTGGCACCGGCGAGGATCCTGATATACTGTGGGTAGAACAGAAGCAATTAGATGAAATAATTGAAACTTGAAGAAGGCCCTTTCAGAAGAAGAAGAAGAAGAAGAAGAAGAAGAAGAAGAAGAAGAAGAAGAAGAAGAAGAAGAAGAAAAAGAAGAAGATCAAATTTGCAAATTTAAAAACAAACATACACCAGACTACAAGTCGAAAGACAAGTAGCCATGAACAAACCACGAAGATTGATAAAGGGGAAAGAAGTGGGTGGGGGAAGTACGGTAAAAATTTATAGAAATTACGCAACGACTCACGTGACCAGGCTAACCCGTCGCGGAAGTATTCTAAGGCCTGTGATTGGCTAGAAAGTTCCATTAGCAAGACTGCAGGAACACCCCGAGCTCATTCAACCAGGTGGCCGCCCTTCAGGTTAACCAGTTTCTGTGATGATGTGTTTCTTCTGTAGACGTGGGTGTTTTTAAGGTTAGTGAGCCGGGTATCAAGTTAAACAATTGTGTATTGATAGTGTTAAACAAAATAGATTTTTCACATAACTTTGTATATACATACCCATATATCACAGTATTTGAAATGTAAATTTATAACATAACGTTTGTAATGTAGTATATAATGATCCATATAATAAACGAATTAGCCATTCAGCCTATTATTATTACAATTATTATAATAAAAAAGTCTGCATTTTTGCCTCTAGGGCTATTCAACTAAGTTGGCTCAGGGGCCAAACTGTTCAAAAACGGGGATCATCAGAGGCCGCAGCATAGAAAGATCCAAAATTCAAAATACAATACACCTAGAAGTGATCCGCAGGCTACTTGCTAGGCCCTGGCGGGCCAGATTTGGCCCGCGGGCCGCCAGTTTAATAGACTTGCTCTAGGCATCACAATATAACAGAAGAAGGGCAGCCACTCTAGGGTGGGCTCCATTACATGGTGTGTTGTGAAGAAGGGCAACCAAGCTAGGGTGGGCCCCGTTGCATGGTGTGTTGTGAAGAAAGGGCAACCAAGCTAAGGTGGGCTCCGTTGCATGGTGTGTTGTGAAGAAAGGCAACCAAGCTAGGGTGGGCTCCGTTAGATGGTGTGTTGTGAAGAAGGGCAGCCAGGCTAAGGTGGGCTCCATTACATAGTGTGTTGTGAAGAAAGGCAACCAAGCTAAGTTGGGCTCCGTTACATAGTATGTTGTGAAGAAAGGCAACCAAGCTAAGGTGGGCTCTGTTACATAGTGTGTTGTGAAGAAAGGCAACCAAGATTAGATGGGCTCCGTTAGATGGTGTGTTGTGAAGAAGGGCAACCAAGCTAAGGTGGGCTCTGTCACATGGTGTGTTGTGAAGAAGGGCAAACAAGCTAGGGTGGGCTCCGTTACATGATTTGTTGTGAAGAAGGGCAACCAAGCTAGGGTGGGCTCCGTTACATGGTGTTTTGTGAAGAGCGAACGACGATATTTTTTTTTCAAAGGGTCACAAATTGAGCACTCAGGCCCGTCTTACATTCGGCCCTTCCAGTCAACCATCTTTCGCACGGCAGTTGTATTTTACTAATAAAGCATGTTATGATCATATGATGATATGCATATTATGAATATTATAAAAGAACACAAAAGCATGAGTTGTAAAGTGCCTGCAAAAACCCGTGCGTGCATACACACACTCACCCACTCACTTACACACACATACATACATACATACATACATACAGGCATACGTATATACATACTTACATATATACAAACATACTGGCATACATACATACATACATAAAGAAGAAGAAGAATGAACAAACTTTATTTTCAAAGGGTCACAAAGAAGGACAACCAAGCTATAGTGGTCTCTGTTACATGGTATGTTGGAAAGTCTCAGACTGTCTGTGATTCCTTCAGTCCATTGTCTTCAAGATCTCCCTCTGCCATTTGGTGCTTCCATTCTCATCTTGTAATCACCACCTGCCAGTATCGTTGAATCATTCTTTTTATTTGACCAAACCATTTCAGTCTTTGTTTTTCAATGAATTTAATGATTCGGTATTGTTCTCTTAGTTTTTCAGAGCTCTTCATTACTCACAGAATCTATTTTTTATGATAGTATAGTGACGTATTTAACATCTGTATGCAGTCTTTTTTCTTTAAAAAAAAGTATATTTCTTTGTGAGAGTGAGAAGCAACAACAAAATTCATAGTCAGTTTAAATCACCACTGATCACTGGCATCGTGAGAGCTAATAGACTGAAATGGTTGGGGCATATTGAAAGACAGTCAGATGACAGAGAAGTAAAAACTGTATACACAAGGGAGATGAATGGTTGTAGACCACGAGGCAGACCTAGAAGACGATGGAGAGATAACATCCAGACAGACCTGCAAACACTTGGTGTCACCATCTAGAAAGAGAAGGCCAACCAGAGAGATGAATGGAGGCAGGTGATATCTGCAACAATGAACCTCAAGGGCTTGGAATGCAGAAGAAGGCCAACAAGAGAGATGAATGGAGGCGGGGATGTCTGCAGCAATGAACCTCAAGGGCTCGGAATGCTGAAAAAGAAGAAGTATATCTCTTTCTCCCCACTCCACTTTTCTGCAGTGTCTATGGTATGCAGGGATTTTATTTTCTGGTGTATGCAGTACCAGAAGCTTTTTTCAGTTTTTTTTTTCAGAACCACTGTAATAGACACTTTGTGTTGAGTACTTGCTACTTATGGTGAGTATCGAAACCTTTTTTTTGTTTCTAGAAAAATAAAGGCATGTTGCTCTATGTACATGTTTTACTTAGTCACTCCTCTTCTACCTTGGGGTGTAGAGGTTTGCTATAGAGATTTCCAGACGTCTCTATCAGCAGTTTTCTTTCTAGCCTTGTTCGATTCCACTCCTCTCTGTCAGATAGGGACTGTCGGATGTTGTCTTCTCAGCGCACCCTGGGCCTCCCTGGAGGTCTGGTTCTCTGGTTCTTAGCCTGCCATGGTGGCCGATTTTCTCCTATTCTGCATGCATGTCCACACCATCGTAACTGTGACTCATCCACTCGGTTTTGTAAGGACTGGGTCTTGACGTATTGTCTGATTTGCGGACTTTGTCCCTTCTTGTCACTTGGACCACCTTTCTCAGATATCTCATTTCTGAGGCCTGAAGCTGGCTTCTGTGAGCTGTTGTCATTGCCCATGACTCACACCCATAGGTCAGGACTGGTACATAGGTAGAGCGGTGAACAGCCATTTTCGTCCTCTTGCTAAGAAACCCTCGGTCTATATTCCTGTTAATACAACTAAATATATAGATAAAGCAATATATGCAGTGTTATATGACATACATTAATGCTGTTCTTTTTTTCTTTCTGTTCCATCTTCTTTAGAAACCACGAGTGAATGACATCAGAGTCACATTACAAGATTCCAGATTTTTGGCTGGTAACTCAATGTGTTGATCCTAATATGGGTAACTTGCTACCTGAGGTCCCTGAGGGACCACCTCTGATACAGGAAAGTGTCCACTGCCGGATATTGTACAGTCCAATGTGTTACATAGCATTTTGGAACCCATGTAAGGTCATGCAAAACCAAGATGAGGTGGTACGAAACAGTATACAGCAACAAGATTGTATCAGGCAACTACTGGAACCAGCATGGGATCTTCCGTTCCTGGAACAAAGCAGCATCCAGCAGCAAGGTGGAATCTTTCAACCACTGAAATCAGCATGGGATGTTACATCCCTGAAACAAAGCAGCATCCAGCAGCAAAGTGGAATCTTTCAACCATTGAAACCACCATGGGATGTTACATCACTGAAACAAAGCAACATCCGGCAACAAGATGAGAAAATAAATTTCTTAAGCATTGGCAGTTTTATGGTATTTTTGTTACCTTTTGCGGGATGTTCTCCACTGCTTCTGATGATCTTCGGAAATGGTGAAATACTTCTGCCAAATTCATCAGTCAGAATTGATCCGCCCGTAAGTGTAGTTGTATCAGAGACTGATGCTTGTACTGCTTTGAGGAAATTCGAAACAGATGCCTGCCAAACATGGCTGCTCCAGAGTGACCAGAAATTGCTGAAAGTCTTTGGTATTCGCAGATCGAGGGTCATTTTGCTGCCCTTTCTGGAATGCATTTTGCTGCTTCGGATGTCCTTCGTGGATGCTTGCTATTCTAAATTCCTGGATGAAAACGGTGAAATACTTAAACTAAAAAGTGTAGTTGGTTTCGTATCAGAGACTATTGATGCAGCGCTCAACTGGACAATATCTTTTGCTTCAGCAATTATAGAAATCTTACAACACAGATGTGTTGATGTGTGTACTAAATATTTTGCTGCGAAAATAATAGAAACTGCTCACAAACAGAGAGAATCATTCGTGATAACCAAAGACAGTGACTTTTCCGTACAACCAAGTGTGTTTAATTTCGATAAAACTCTTCTTGGTACCGTCAACTTCCACAGACGCAATGAGCTGTGGGAGTGTGTGCCCCTGCCATTTTAAATGGCTTGTTGACACTCAGGGCTCTAAAAGAGACCCAATAAACAGTGAAAAAGCATGGCTAGATTTTGCCGTGAGACTTTTGTCCAGAGAGGTGGTGGGAAAAGCTAGAGGTCAAGAAACTGTTTGGAGTGAGAGATGCAAGCCTCATTGGTGGGATAAAGCAGTTGAGCTTCCATGGAAGAATCCAACTGCAAATCCTAAGGATACAAAGGAGGTTTTGCTGACAAAGTACACAGCTTTGGAAAGAAAATTACGAGAGGAAGGAAGGTTTCCACAAGAGCTAGAAGAGGAGGCTAAGCTATGGAATGAGGGAAGGTACAAGGAGTTGTTTCTGCAGACATCTTTAGCCAGTTTGCTAGGGAAGGTAAGTGGGGTTCATACGGCTGCTATTGATGCAATGGAAAAAGCCAAAGAGCTGAAGGCACAAGTGAATCAGTCACTGGTGAATGATTTGCAGCAATGCTTATCTTCAACTCTTCAAGTCACCAACAACTTGATCGTCAGTGGTTGTGAGGAAATCAAACCAGCAAAGCGATCAAGTCCTGGCAGTAACAATAGTAACAGCATTTTTGAAAAGAGGAGAAAGGTTGAGAGGGTTATACTACCTCTAGACAAGCAAACAATGTGCTCAACAGTCCCAGCATCATTTAAACCATCACAGAATATTAATTTACCATCAAAATTAACAGCAGACGAGAAATGCCAGACAAGAACAAACTCAGTCAAAAGATACAAGCAGAAAACCCAGATTAAACCTCCCACTCAAACACCAACATTGCAAATCATAGCCCCCACAGTAACAACTCTTGCCAACTCTCTGCAGCAGGCAGTTTCAACCAGTGGTCTTGGATTTTCACATGAAGATATCAACCATCTTCTTTTGAGAAATATAATTGTTTGCACCAAGCCTATCTCAGATGCAACCCCACACTTAACACCCGCAGCTGTCCTCTCCCAAACACAAGCTACAAATGCCTTTAAATTGTCGGTACACACAAACCCATCCCTGATTTCACCAGTACCTGTTAAATGCAATCTAACCTCACACAAAACATCTGAAAACACAGACATCTTGTTTAGCTCAGAAGTTTCAAATACTAGCAACTTTCATGCCATCTCTGGAAATACCCCCAATTCTAATACCCCTGATATAAATTTTGTATCAAGTTCAGCAGAAAACAATTCAAACAACAATGGTAATATTCCAGTTATAATTCAAGATGTCCATAATACAAACTACACTGCTCATTTCCCGTTATTTGATGAAGACGATACAGAAATCAGCACTACATCATCTCCTGTTAATAATGCATCCTCTACAAGTTCATCAGATAGAGTAGCAAACATGGGTATTTCAGATGGCTCAGATCACAATATTTCTGATACAGACTACAGCACAGAACACAGCATGCTAGAGTGTAGTACAGACCACAGTATGCTAGAATATAGCACAGAAAACAGCATGTTAGATTGTAGCACAGAACCAAATAGGCTAGAATATAGCGCAGAACATGGTGTGCTAAACTTGGATGATATTTTTAGCCCCGATGAACAAGAGCAGCTCTGGAAAGAAGATGGCTCTTATCTTCTGGAAAGATTTCTTGAGGACTTAGGTGGGTCTGAACAAACAGTACTGCACAACTGTATGACTGAATTCAAACTGAAATATTAAATCCACAAAGAAATGACACTCACAGCTGTACTAAAAAAAAAGAATGAACACAGAACAATAGGAGGACCATGCAGAAGATGGAACAGTCCCATCAAGAACAGCCGTAATGAAATTGAGGATAGATAACTTACACAAGGGATTTTGTTCATACCTGACCTTGGCTTCCAGATAGACCCAGCCTTAAATGACTACCAGATAAAGTCCTGAGAAGTAAAGGGGCTTAGCATGATCTTTATGACCACATCACCCACCGAGTGCCAGTTGGTCTTAAAAAACACACGAGTCTAGCCTGGTATTCTTGATGTGACACTTGCATGTAAAGGGACCCCTACTTACTTCGTCCGCACTTAAAACTGCAGTTGGCATGTTGTGTTGCTGCAATATATGTGCCTGTCGGCCCAACACATTCAATTTCATCAAAACCTTAATTAGTTACGTCTTACATCATGCTCGTTAGGGGTCAGTGGGGGTCTAACTCTGAGTTTTCCCCAAAAATGAAGCCTCGGAACCCACACGGGGAACTTACTTTACTCACACAAGGAACTTACTTTACCCACTCAGTGAACTTACTTTACTCACACAAGGAACTTACTTTACTCACACAAGGAACTTACTTTACCCACTCAGTGAACTTACTTTACTCACACGAGGAACTTACTTTACCCACTCAGTGAACTTACTTTACTTTATTACACACAAGAACATCACACATAGAACTTACTTATGAACTTACTTTACCCCTCAGTGTCTCACTTTTTACTTTTTCACACAAGACATCACGATCCCCAGTCTCACACGCGCGGCACACACACACACACACACATATATATATATATATATATATATATATATATATATATATATAAACACACCTATATACGATATATGTAACACTCCACGTAAGGTCCCACTAAGGTAACTGGTTGAACAAAAGATGTCTGATTGAAAGTATGCTTAAACTTGACTTGACATAAGGCCACTGTGGACAGAAGAAAGATTAAGGAATATCCAAAGCTGTGTTTGTGTACAGAAAAGGTTAATTTTCATGTTTTTTAATTTTTTTTTTTTCTTTTTTTTGCTTTTTGCAGATTATTACGCTATAGTTTGTGTTTTTAGCACATTGTAAATATATATAGGTATTTCCTGCTAAATTAATATACAGGTCATTCTCATATAAAGGTATATTTCTTGTGTCATATTATAACACATTTTTATGTTTCCTGTGGTCTGACACTTCTGTATCACATATGAACGCAATTTGCAATTTAATATATAGTGGTATCTCGTCCTTAATCCGTTCCAGATTCTGAGACGAATACCTGACAAATTATTCCAAACAAATTTTGTCATAAGAAATAAAGGGAGAATGAATAATCCATTCCCATGAAAGAAATTCTATTGTTACTGGCATTTGTGTGGCTATATGAAATATTGTAATCACTGCTTAATACTAAAATGCATACATACAAAAGCACTTAGATGAAATAAATGAAACTTTAACCTCACTTCACCTTCAAAGAGCTGCATGACTAGTAGGATCTTGCTAAGAAGGAACGAGGAGGAGATGTTGTTTAGAAGGAGAGTTCCCTTCCAATAAAACTCCAGAAATCTGAAATTCTGGCATTTCCCCCCCCCCCCCCCCCCCCCCCCCCGTCTTCTTTTTCTACTTGGACCTGGCTGAGGGTCACCATGTTTGACTTTTACCAAAAATCTGCCCAAAACTTTGCTTCTGCCTTCTGACATTCAGGAAATGTGACATCGTCTAATCATTTCAGACAGTGCTATTACTGCCTGTTTGGACTTTGTTGGGATGGTAATTCTCTGCAAAGATTTTTCACATCCATCCATTTGGCAAATAATTCTTTGATTATTGAGAGAGGTAAACAAGGGTAGCGTGTGGTGTCATTACTCATTTTGGCTCACACAAGTTCAAGCAAATGAGACGTAATCCAAACAAAGGTCCTATACCAAACAAAAATTATCATTTCTGTACAGGATGTATACCAAGTTGGACATATACAGAAGCAGACATATATCAAGGTACCACTGTACTTTAGTTAAGTAGCAATTACAAACTTAGGGCTTTTTTTTTTCCTGGCAATACAAAACAGTATGCACATCAGCATTTTTTTTAGGGATAATTTTTTTCCAACACTTCTGTAGTGAGTACCGGCACCTTTTTATACATTTCTTTTTGGTAAGTGTGGAACCATTTTCGTAGATAAAAAGCCACAACCACTTTTAATTATAAATTTTTGAGTCAAAATACCACCATAATGTGGAAAAGAGTTTTAGCAGCATAAAATAAAAAGAGTGAAAGTGAGAAATAAGTCAGAGTTGATAAGCGTATCACCTGAATGAAGCACATCATCATCATGTGCCCTGCCCAGCGGTGTAGGTGCTCATGTCTCTTCGCAGATCGCAATCCTTGGTATTTTCAGTCTATTCCATTTAAGGTATCTCGCCATAACATTGCTTCAGGCCGTTCAGCATCACCTCTCTAAGTCTTCTTCTGCCTTTCCCACCGTAGATCTTTCCAGTCATCACAAGGTTCTCGAATGCCTCTTTTCTCATCACATGACTGAAGAACACTGACTGCCTCTTTCTTTTTCTCTTCCACCTTGTGCCTCAGTGAAGTGTCGGGGGGGGGGGGGGGGGGGGAGATGTAACATTCGTTGATGAGCTGTGTCAAGAGCACTATTAAGACTGATGTTCATTTCTGTAAGGCTGTTCTTAATGCCATCACTCCATATTTTCAGAGGTCTTCCACTCGCTCTATACCCGTTGTAACGTTTTAGTGTGGCTCGCTGTGGTAGATAGTACCAGGGCATTCTTGTTAGGTGTCCAAACCACTTCATTTGTTGTTCTCTGATGACTTGTAAGACTGGCTTAATTCCTAGCATTCGTCCAATTTTGTGAATTTGTATTCAGTCTTTCCTTAAAACTCCTGCACTTCTTCTATGGCATTTCATCTCTGTTTTCACAATTTTACTTTCATTGGAGGATGTAAGTGTCCACATTTGGCACTGATAGCATAGAATTGCCTCTTTCTTACAGTTATATATAGTTTTCTAATTTGCAAAGACACTTCCAGGTAGCCTTTGTTAGTCTCTGTCTGTCCACAGTATGCCCCATATGCATCTCAAAAACCACATCTCCACAGTTCTTCATAATTTGTTCATGCAAATTCCAAGATTAACAGCCATACAGCAACAATGGTTCCACATAACATTTCAGTACAGACAGCTGTTGCAAACAATATTTTTTCCGAAATGAGGCACATGGAGTTGAGAAAAGTAAATCTGTCAGTAGAAACTGAAAATATCATCGTGAGTTGCTTAGTTACAAAAGAGTTTAAACTTTCTTGCCTTAAAAGGTATTAAATTTTTTTCAACATACATTAAATATAGATGTGATTTAGAATTTGTAGATATTATAGAAAAATGTTTTTATATTGTTTTCATTGGCTTTAATAAAAGATTATTTAAATTAAAAAAAATAATGTAAAATATTTCAATTCATTTATTTGTGTAAGTGTTATGATGATATGTGTAAAGGTGACATTGGTATGTGTAAATGCTCTGTCATTTCTATGTAAATATGGTGTGTGTGTAAATGTTCTGTCATTTCTATGTAAATATGGTGTGTGTGTAAATGTTCTGTCATTTCTATGTAAATTTGATGTGTGTCTCATTTTTGTAAATTTTATATTGTTATATGTAAATGTTATGTTGAGTCTATGTTAATGTAATTTTATGTGTAAATGTTGGTTCTATAGAACCATAAATGTTCTGTTAGTTTGAAGTTTTTCACTACCAGAAGGTTTCAGAGGAGATACCAAGGTAAATCGTGGTGCAAAACTGACAATGCACTACTTTCCAAAGTGGCAATATGCATATACCATTGAGTGAAGGCAGATTTCTTCAGTATTTTCTGACCAAATGCTAAATGTAAGAAAGGACATTATGCTATGCAGAGGATTATAAGGATACATTCATTCACTTATCAGGCATTGCTGGAGACGGAAAGAACTATATAAACATGATACTGTAAATGTTGTGTCAGATCTATGTAAATAATCTTGTGTGTTAAATGTTCTGTTGGTCTGTATACATATATTAGATTCTAGATCACAAAGCAGAAGGGTTAAAGTGTAGAAATTGTTACTTTACTTACATACATACTTTTACTTGCATAAGAGTAACATAAAGCATTAGTAACATAAAAAGTAAAGGACCCTTTTCCATGCCTTCAGGTGTATTGGGTATATAGGGCTAGACCTTTACTGTATAGACACAATGATACTTGGGTGATGTGGTCAGCACCTTTACTTCCCAGGACTGTACCTGGTACCCACTTGAGGCTGGGAGCCAAGGTCATTTTTGAAAAAAAAGTAATGACCCGAACCCACGACCTTCCTATCTGCAGCCAAGCATCTAGCCACTAGACCACGGCAGCTCCCAAGTAACACATATATTTGATATACATATGATGTGACAGTCCTTCACCAATGATGTCAAAAGACAGAACAAACCTACATATCTGCGACATCCACGATGTATAATGACATGACGGCCTTTCTTACATTTCCACGAAAGCAGACGGCATGACAATCCTGCATACTTTTCATGACACTTGACTCTGCAGCCTACTCTCATTCCTATGAACAGATGACATGACAACCCCACACACTCCCCATGACATAAGACATGATCAACCCCACACACTCCCCATGTAATAAGACATCACAACCCCACACACTCCCTATGACATAAGACATCACAACGCCCCCCCCCCCATGAAAACCCCACACACTCCCCATGACATAAGACATCACAACCCCACACCCCCATGACATAAGACATCACAACCCCACACACTCCCCATGACATAAGACATCACAACCCCACACACTCCCCATGATATAAGACATCACAACCCGACACCCCCCATGACATAAGACATGACAACCCCACACACTCCCCATGACATAAGACATG